AAAATCATATAGTTGAAACTAATCGAATAATGAATAGATGTTAAACACATATGACATACTATTATTGGCTGATGAACAATTCTTTTGATATTTATTTTAGGATAAATTTTAACTCCAAATACACAGCTAACATATTCCTCACACATCCACGTTTCGCATTTTGTGTTCCATAAGTCAATTTTTTGAATATTAGCAACTTCGCAAATTATTGCAAATTATTCTTGCATGGGAATTTCCCTGTGTAACTTCAATTAGAAATTGTCTTAAAAATAAGTATTACGATAATGAAATATTAAAGTACTTTGAAGTCACCGCGGGGGAAATCAGGATATGGATTTGCCGTTGTACAAGATTCTCTCTCTGCAATGTCTGGAGCTATTTTTTCTCCAATTCCGATTGGATTATAATTTTTATTACAAGCCCCAGAAAATAGAATTAAATGAAAAATCCTTTACAAGATTGACCATAAACTATTATCGGTCCAAGCCTTACTCTATTATTTGGTTCGTTAAAACAAATTGAAGATATGATGTAACACGTTCATGTGGCGTGTACGCCATTTCAATAATATAGACGTTTTTTTTATCAAAGTGAAATTTATATCCTGACGATTCGTTACGATCAAGGAAATCATTATACTCTTTAACTGAAATGTTTTTCCAATCTGGAAGGGCAAGCTGAATACAATAGAAGTTAACAATTAATAGCTCTTAAAGAAACATGAATAAGTCACGCTTACCTTTCATCTGCTAAATGAAAATCTGGCAGTTTAGGGTGTCTATGGGGCAAGTTCTCCCGAATTTTGTTTACTTTGTTACTTATCCAATAAGCCATACTTTACAAAATATAAAAATGAACTTTGACATTTAATTATCCGAATTTTATATCTGATATGAGGGCAGGGGAACCGGAAAATCTATAGTTCTTAGGAGGGCACCTATCGATTACCGGTATGACATACATTAAAAATATCAAAACTTGAACGAAGATTACTTGACATTTACCTGGTCAAATTCGATCAATCTTTTTGAATATAATTCTATGAATTTATATAATTGAAATAAAAAAAAAATTGATTGAATTTGGCCAGGTAAGTGTCGAGAAAACTTCGTTCAAACTTTAGGCTTCTATAAAAGAAAGCTGCGGCAAAATTTTTTTAATGAATGTTCTTTGACAACCAACTATTCAAATTCTATTTTAATTCTATGAACTCATGAATTAAAAAAAAAAATTTTCATAAAATCCGGATAGTTGGTTTCGAGAAATCTTCATTTAAAGTTTAAATAAAAATTTTGTTACAACGTTTCTTTTTCTTAATTTGTTTAAAAAAACTTTAAACAACGATTTCTTGACAACCAACGTACGAATTTGATGAATTTTTTATTTTTTTTTAAATTCCATGAGTTCATAGGATTAAAAAAAAAAAAAAACTGACCGAATTTAAATAGCTGGTTGTCGCAAAACATTCATTAAAAGCTAAAAAAAATTTGGCCGCAGTCTTTTATAGGAGCCAAAACTTTGAACGAAGATTGCTCGACACTTACCTGGCCAAATTCAATCAAAAATTTTTTTTTCAATTATACGAACTAAGAATTATAATGAAAAAAAAAGGATCTAATTTGACCAGGTAAGTGCCAATTAATCTTCATTCAAAGTTTTGATGTTTTTAAAAGAAGCTGCGGCTAAATTTTTCTTTAATTTAATGAATTCTTCTCAACAACCAGCTATACAAATTCGATCATATTTTTTTTTATTTTAATTTATGGCCAAAAGAATTAAAATAAAAAAAAAATTCTTCAAACTTGGATAGTTGGTTTTCGGGAAATTTGTCATTTAAATTTCAAAGACAAAAAAATCCACCCGATTTATTGATATTTAAAGTCTTTTTTTTTAATATTCCCCGATGATTTCTCAACAACTACTGAACCAAATTCAAAATTCTTCTTTTATTTAGGCGAGACTAATTTGATTCGGTGGTTTACATTACACCTCCTCTCTCTCTTAGTAAAAAATTATTGGGATATATATATATATATTGGCCGGAGAGCATAATGCCGGGCGGAATTAGGATTGGAAATTAAGAGTCCGAAAAATTCCGAAGAGAAAATGAAAGAATATGACGGATCTGATTAAATTTTTTTTAAAAAAATGTTATGTATACATTCCATTTTTTTCGCCCCTCCCCTTGAGAAAGGAATGTAACGTAAACCACCGAATCAAGTTGGTCTCGCCTCAACTTTACTATAGATGCCATG